AATCGGAAAGGTGGTTCGTAAGTTTAGTGAGAACATTTCATGCGGTGGCACATGTACTTTAAGAATGAGACGTCTAGGAAAACGCGGGTGGAAACAGGTGGGTATTTTTTTCACCACATGCTTGCCACGGGCCTGCCAACAAATGCTAAATCTCAGCACTGGCGCGCTTGTTGTCGTGGCTGGTGAGTGGCTCACTCACTCCCCCCCTCTGACCCTGGAACGCATGCAAAAGGCATGTACATGTATGCATGTATACACGACAGATCTGACATAGTTCTGGGTGAGAAATACTGCTACTACTACCGGTGCTAACTTGAGTATAGTTGTGACGACTAGCACACCAAGGCCTAGTCTCGTTTCATGGAGAAAAAACAATATCCAGATGACTAGAAAACAGGATAATAGTCCAGGCCTCCAGCACGAGATGGACGCATTTACATCGAGTTTCCCATAGTGTCGCGACGACGAATGCAGATGAAGGGGTTAAAGGCTCTAAAATCTACCTCCACAAAGGGTTTGTACAAGTGTTTTCCATCGAACAGATTGAATACCGCCTTCTCTCCAATTGACATTTACGGCACCATGCTAGTTTACCATTCGACGCGGGCGTACAGTACACAAGAAACTAGTAAATGACTGACCAACTCTTTGGGTGCACTTTTATACGCAAACAAACATTTCATCGAAATCGCAATGATGTTAAGAATAGAACACTGCCTTAAACAGTACATTGCGGCATAGCGGCTTTCCATTAGAAATTTCCTCAATAGCAGGACCATTTCGCTGAAAAAAGACCCTTATAAGCATATGTTTCAAGAAGTTTTTGATGACGAATCCCTTTAGAATAAGCCTTTTGTGGATGACTACATTTACTTAGAGACCTATTTGAAAGCGAGAAAGATTTCGATCTATAAAAATAGAGCAGATCCCACTTAATTGGACGAACCATATATCCGGAGTAATCTTTAGGAACAGGAACGGCTGTTTGATACACCCCAAACTTACTTCGCTTATTAATGCCACCAAAAATGAGATGATAGCTTACATTTCGGGCAAAGAATTAAATGGTCCGCTGGGTTCCAATTCAGTCCACATAAGCTACTCGGGCCAAACGGTTCCGACAACCAGTCAGTTATGAGAGCTCGCGAACATACGGCGCAAGCTCTCTCTGCGGCCGACGAGGCAGGAGTGGATTTTGCGCTGGCGGACGCTTGAGGTGGAAAAAGGAGCGGCAGCTTTGGTGTCTATCAACAAATCGTTGTTCGAAAATTGGTCCAAGTGCACGTCAGTCAGTCAGCCCGATCTCGCAGACGCAC